GGCTGGGAAATTATCTTTCGTTGCTTTCGTATTTTTAGTGCACATAAAAAGAGGTTGGGAGTTGTGCTTTCTGTTCTTTTCGATTCGTTCATGTCTTTAAGACATAGACACGCGCGCTAACACGCACATTCACACACACACACACACACACACACACAAACATACACACACATACACATAGACACACACACACACACACACACACACACACACACACACACATTCGTACAGACGCGTTTTAATGATCGTATAATTCCTCGGCCCTCTTAAGATTGCTCTGCGCATTTCCATATTTTTACACTTTTGAAAATATGTGTAAATATTCCTTGATGTGAGCAAAAGAATAAAGATGGAAGTGATTTTTTTTTAAACATTGAAAAAATATAAAATATCAGATTGCCGCACACACACCTAAATGTTTCTCCTTTACTTCCCCAGCTCATCAACTTGTTAGACATCTTCACGCCAAACCGCTCTCTGGCTGACTTCAACGATGTGTAAGTAATTTTTGTTTTATGTTTGTATAGACCATAGACTTACTTGTACACCTAGACCACTCACTAGCCGATTTCAATGACATGCAAGTGTTATAATATGTAAGGACCATAGACTTACTCATACACCTAGACCGCTCTGGCCGACTTCAACGATGTGTATTTCTTGTTTTATGTATGTATAGACCATAGACTTACTTGTACACCTAGACCACTCTGTGGCCGACTTCAATGATGTGTAAGTATTTCTTGTTTTATGTATGTACAGACCATAGACTTACTTGTACACGTAAGGACCAACTTCAGTGACATGTAAATGTAAGTGTTATAAAAATATGTAAGGACCATAGACTTACTCGTACACCTAGACCACCCTCTGGCCGACTTCAATGATGTGTAAGTATTTCTTGTTTTATGTATGTAAGGACCATAGACTTACTCGCACACCTAAACCACTCACTGGCCGACTTAAATGACGTGTAAGTGTTGTATGTAAAGACCTTAGACTCACTTGCCCCCCCCCCTCCCCACCCCTTCCCCCCTCTCTTACAGATACCTGGTGACCCCTCTCATGGACTCTGACCTTCACAACGTTCTCAAGAGCCAGACGCTGCATGATGAACAGATCAAGTTCCTGCTCTATCAGATACTGCGGGGGTTAAAGGTGAGGGGTCAACGAGTGTGTGACCTAGTTTTGTGTGTGTGGAAGGTGAGAGGTCAAGGTATATAATAATAATAATAATAATAATAATAATAATAATAATAATAAATAGCATTTGTATAGCGCATATCCCCGCCCAACAGCAG